CTAATTTACAGATTATGTCAAGTGGATAAGTTTTTAATTAAATGCCGAAGAACAATTCGTATCTCTATTTCTCCAACTATCTGTGAACTGGATAAGTTCTGGTCAGGTGCATCGCGTTGTTGATTTTTCCTGAAACTCATGAACTCGCTTCAAAACATCTGTCTTCTTTAATATTAATGTTCACGTTTTCCAAAATTACTAGGTTGTAATAGCTCTCAATACTTATGACCGGTATAAGTGTTCGGTTAGTGCGGGTAGATAGATTTAATACATCCAATAGTTAAATAGTCAATTAAATATAATATTGATATATATTTAGGATGTCGTCAATCAAAACGTCCAGTTAACTGATTATAACCCAACTAGCTCAAATTGCTAATTCAAATTAATACCAAAATGTCGCTAGCATAGAAAATTCGAGACAGTCATAAATTGTTTGTCCAACGCAGAATGCTTATCATTCATGTAATACACACTTTTCACAGAATATTAATTATGAATAGAATTTGCACAAGCTAAATAATTAATTCAGAAAGTACATTTATTTTATAATTTAATATACAGTTTATCAACAAATATACATTTACTATAAATAGGCAAAACAACATAAATAATCAAGTATCGACTAAAAGTATCGTCTTTTTATCTATAATTTCCAAATAATGAACAAATATATTTGCACAGATCGTTACCAATCTTATTAAACCTTACTTTCTTTTGTTTCAGTTTCAAAGTCAAGTACCTTAAATATCATAATAAGAGCATGAAGAATACCTATTTATCAGAACAATAAATAAACAAATAATAAAGTAAATAAATTAAATAAATATTAAAAATAAAAAAATTTAATATACAAACCAGGAATACATCCGGCTATTGTGCAAATTATATTATCACGAACATCTGGTCTATGTGTGACAAATCCACAAGTACAACATGATATTATAGAACCAAAGCAATCTTTAAGGCAATCTATAAAAAAATCCAAAATACCACAGCAACAAATTATTTGTAGCAAATTTAATCCATTTTTTTTATTTTTCGCTTTTTCTAACTCGAGCAACTCTTTTTGCATTAGACTAACACATAAAGGAGGAAAAACAAATGCCAGGAGAAAATGAAGAAGATAGCGAGGAACCTTCCCATTTTTGTAACTTTTAATTAGTCCAAGCACAAAAACTGTAATGATAACAAGTCCAACGAAACCAATTATTACTTTAAGTAATAGAAGGTTGTCTACCTCATTCTAAAAAATCGAATATTATTATTAATTTGGGGTTTAATCTAAGAAAAAAAGAAAACCATTATTCACCATTGGTTGAGCTGTTGGCTCTGCCTAAAATTTAATATTATTAGCAATGTAGGACTTATAATAAACAAAAAATAATCTGCAAAAAATACATTATTTACCATTATTACAGAATGAGGTAATAAATAGGTTATTTAAACTTTTAATAATACGAAATTTAGAATTTGAGCATATTTATAAAAATCTTAGAATTGTTATTGGTATTATTATCTAACATATGTATGTACAGTACAGAAAAAAATATCAATTTCTATATACTGTATCAAGGTCTCAATATAGTGATGCGAACGGCTCGGTTCACGGCTAATATTTACTAAGCTGAGCCGTTTATAAGCCGATCAACTTCAAGCCGAACCAAGCCGCTAATGGCAATATGGTTTCACAAAAGTCTTGATATTTCCTATGCAAAAAAAAATCTTCTACAAATGAAATTCATGTAACGATTGGGCTAAAAGCTATAAAGCGTGAAATAGCTTTGAGAATTTACTAAATTGAAATACAATTTAGCAAATGCATAATTTAAGTCACGAAACTATATGATCTACTAGTGGCTAATGGTCATGTGCTATTGTTCTATCAGCTCGCAACTTTATGTTCGGCTTTGAGGTCTTTAGTCGAGTCGTTTCTGGAGCCGATACTTTATTAGTAGACCCTTAGCCGAGCTGATGATCGACTCGGCTTAGACGATCGGCTTGCGGCTTAGCCTTAGACGTTCGCATCACTATCTCAATAAAGTGAATATTCAATCACTTTTCATAAATAGTATGCCAAGAACAAAATCTATTTCATTCATGTAACTACTTCTGGAAACCCGGTGGAGTTTGATACCTGTAGCCTATTTAACAAACATTACAAAGGGTTATGTTGCCATTTTATTAAGTTACAAATATAGTAAATTGTCACTTGTGTAATGCCGGTTATTTTTTGAAATTTTTAAAGTTCGGTATCAACTATTCCTAAATTATCGACTCTAATACGAATAGATGTACATATGAATCTGCATATGGGAATTAGGCGTTGAAAAATAATTGTTGAAGAATCATCTAAATCCTTTAAAGTATTTGTATTTCGAAATATCGGCATTTGATTGCCACTATATCCAAATTAGATCTGTTCCGAAAGTGTTACTAAAAGTGCTTTTTGTTTGAAGAATTCTATGCCAGATTTTTTTAATCACGATCGATAAAATTAAGAAATTTTATGTCTAAAAATTTGCCTATAGAACAGCTTTCGTGCCATAACAAAAAAAATATAATAATTAATTACACCCAAATTTTAGTATAAACCCTAATTTAAATCTACCTTCAAAATCTTATTGACTAAAAAATTTGATCGTGTTTAATCATTTCGGTCAAAAAGCTGGAGCTAAAAACCATCTTTTTTTCATAGTTACTCTGATTGGCTGAACCTTAAAATCTGCATTTCATACGTACAATGAATTTTCAGCAAAATTGTTACAGAATCACTTAATCGAAATGATTGAGCAACAACCTCAATGCAGACTAACATGATTCGTAATTTAAATATAAGCATGTGCATATATAGGATTGTCATGAATTGTCAAAATATTTTCCTCAACAATTTCAAAAAAATTATTGTGTTTTCTATTAGTCCAAGCAAAATTAATTAATTGGTTTTCATAACCCGATCAGGTCAAATTTTGAAAACTTGTAAAAGAAAATTTTGGTTTACAGCCGTTATCATTGTTCCTGGGACACTATAAAAAACTGACCAAATAATTATTCAGCCGATTCGATAAGTTACTGATTTCGGCATGATTAGTACAACGTTTATTATTTACGGAGATAATCAGGTATGTGCGTACATACGTATGTACGTGGGTTAAAAATTGGTTACTAATCGATTTGTAAATTGAAACTCACGTGGAACATATAGGCTTTAAACAACCTCTATTTACAGTGACAATTATTAATCGATAATGACCAGATAAACATATTCACTGGAAAATAGTCGAAAAAAAATTTTAGGTTATAAATTCGAACAATTGCTAAACATTTAGATGTTAGCAAATCTTCAATAAATCGAGTTCTTAAACAATTTTAAAAAATATGGATATGGTAAAAGACTTCTGCTTGAAGAGAAGCCTGACTGGTATTTTTATGACTTACAATCTGAGATAGAACTTTGAAAATAGAGTTTGTTAAGTTTAATGCGGGTGCACAAAAAAGCTTAACATAAATTTATTCAAATGTATAATATGTATGCAATTGAATTGTGTAAACTAATGTTAGACCCGAAACACGTGATCCACAAGTGACGTGATCTTCGCCGTATGACCCTAAGTCACGCTCTCTCGGGTATGTCGATCTTTTACCTAAGATGGGATTCCCGGTATTATACATCGTATAAGTTGTAAACGTCGTATCGGGTCTTTAAGGGATATCGGTGTTATAAGGGAAATCGGTGGTATAATTAGTATAGATGTTAGACTTCACTTTCGAATTTCCATCAATTAATAATTGATGTACTTGGCTTCAAAATCGTGAAATAATGTACTTCATATTTTAATCGGTATAAATTTACCAATTGATGATAAAAAGAATTTTATTATTTTTTTTTATGCTACAACATCGACATTATTGCATTTACACTAATTTTTCCTATTTACATATGCTATTGAAATCTATTTAATGAGCGATAAAATATTTTTTGTTGATAATAAATGCTAAGCTAGTACGGAACATAAAGAATATTTAGTATAAGAAAAACTTAATGATTTTTGCATAAATCTCTGCATACACAACTACAATGAAAAGTACAAAGAGCATTGTTTTTTTGACAAGAACAGTTTTTAGTTTCACAATTTTTTTTAGTACATCAGCAACCATCATCTCTTGTATCTTATACACATTCTTGATTAGATGCTTCATTTGTAATATTTTGAAATGGTTTTATCAATCTGGTTAAGTTTTGTTGAGAAGCAGCATTTCATAAAGAAATAAACTTGCTTATTGGAATTATATCTAAATCCAGAAAATCATCAATTCCTAATGGTTCTAATTCATTTGCCAAAAACCAGGTATTCAAAATACCAAATTTACAACCAACTTGATAAGAGTCACAATTTGGCTTTTTTTGAATAACCTTACATGTCAGTACTTGTTTATCTATTTTTAACCTATCAATATCAGAAATTTAGATCTTTATAAGATCTTTTGGTTTGAAATTTAATGAATGTCTTTTAGCTTTTTATTTTTTTTCATAAGATTATAAATAATTTGATAATTTTGAGTAATGTGTCTATTTGTTGCCTCTTTTAATTGTGCATGTTGACTAAAATTTGTATAAGATGAATTTTCAATTAATGTATTTATTTCAAATAATGTAACTAATGATAGAACTTCACCTAAATCCATATCATTATTCTAATAAAAATTGTATATTAATATATAAATATATCTACAATAAATTTTATAATAAAATAAAAATATAGTTACCAGAGTAGGTAAATTTATATCATTATTTTGTTCAATTTTTTTATCCTTTTTATCTTTTATTATATAGTGATTATTAAATTCAGGATCATTCTTCTCATTATCATTAATTATAATTATTTCATTGTTATTACTATGGTTTGAAAATATCGATACTAAAATTTTTATAAATTAGATAACTAAATTAGTACAATATTATTGATATATATATAAACTATATTACATATTTTCAAAACTTAAATTACTGTAGATAATTCATCTTTAGGAATAGAATTGAATAATTTAGTATCAATATTTTCATTAATAGAATTATATAGATTAATAATTTCATAAATAGAATTAGATAATTTAATATCATTATAAGTAATATTGTTGTGAGTAATATCATTATGAGTTATATTGTCAAGAATAATATTATTGTAAGTAATATTATTGTAAGTAATATCATTACAAATAATATCATCATGAGTAATATAATTGTAAGTAATATCATTGTCAATAAAATTATTATCATAAGTAGTATCATCATGAATAATATCATCATAAATAATATTGCTGTGAGTAATATCATTGTAAGTAATATCATTATGAGTAATATTGTTATAAGTAATATTATCATAAATAAAATCTGATAATGGTATATCTATATTATATATAAATTAAGTAAATTAATTAAATTATATATATTAATTATTTATAAATTTTATAAATTTTAAATAAAACTTTCATAATTAAAATTTGATAATTGATTTTCTAATCGTATATTTTCTTTATGTATTATGCTTTACTAATGAAACATCGAAATTATTGATAAATTTGAACAAGCTTTTTGTCTAAATACTAATTAACAAGGTATAGTTTTTATTGCTTTATATATTTGCATATTTATTTTCTCTAATTTATATAGTTATAATAAATTTAATTATTATATAATGAATATTAATATTTATAATAAAAATACTCACATATTATAAAAGACAATCCAACATTCCAATCTGTATATTTGATTTCCTTCATTCATGATTCCAATTTTGATTGCAGTATATTATTTTCTTTTTCAACAGATCCTTGGCATTGCAGATGTCTTAGTTTTCTATGTATAAATTTAACTGCTAGCCAAAATTTTACTGTTTCCTTCATGATGTCTTCAACAAACTCACTATCATTATTTGTATATAAAATTGATAGTGACCTATAATTCAAACAAAATAGCATAAAAATACCTGCATCTTTCTCTGTAGTTTTTGTTTTTGCAGGTTCTATATAGGAAAATCTAGTAAAGTGATCATGAATATAAATAATATAATTAAATTCTCCATCTGCTACAGTTGTTATGTTTATAGTATCAACCTTAATATTAAAAAATTTATTATTAATAATTTGTTAATATATATAATTATTAACATAAAATTATAATTATAAATTTACTTGAACATGTATGAGAAACTTTGCAGTAATTATTGGTTTCATCACAGGTACATGTTTTATCACATGACATGTAGTGCAAATATTACATTGTTTTATGACATTTTGAACAATTATTTGAAGAATAAAAGTATATCATTGATGAATCTAATTATTATTATACAAATTTAGTTTAGTTTTTTTTTATTTTATTTTTTTTATAATTTTTAATTTATTTACTTTTAACCAAGTCTTATCTTGACTATTATGCTCTGTATCTTAATAAGCTTGACAAATTATAGTATAAAAAACTTCAATAGAACATACTTAAATGCCATGGTTATGTTTATCAAATTAAATATTTAGTTCTTCAATGACATCAACTTTAATTGATTTAAAGGTTTTAAGAACCCAATATTTAAAGCTAAGATTTTCATATTTATATGATAGGTTTTGTAAAATAACTATACAATAATTATATTTTGAATGATCAATTATATGTCTTTTATTTTTTTGATTATTCAAGTAATCATCAACAATTTTTTTAAAGGTTTGAAATGAAAGAAATAGAAAAACTAAAGCACTTGAAGTTATACTACAGAAGATTAAAGAAAGAAAAATGATCGCAAAATTTTTTAAAAAAACTTTTATAATCAAAATATTTCATTAATCACTTTATTAATCAAATTATTTTTATCAAGAGTCTCTATTGTTTTTCTGACAACACATTCCTGACTACAAAATTCTGACAAAACTGATCGAAACTAACACTAACCCTAACCTAATGCAGGCTAACTTGTCTGAATTTTGACATTGTCACTTTTATTAAACTGTAGTTACGTTTGAAGTACTTTATAGCACAATTAGTATAAATTTTAAAATAATATATATCAATTTTTAATTAATGGAAATTTGAAAGTGAAGTCTAACATAGATATTATAATAGGTATAATAAGCATAAGTAATATATCATGGATAAGATATATAATGTGTATTATGAAAAAGAAAGTATATAATAAAGGCTTCAAGCCCTCTGAAGAAAGTATGCAAAGTTCATGCTTGTAATGAAGTCTGACCCTTATAATTCCCTGGCCTTAGCTACTTTGTTAAATCTACGATTATAAAAACACCACTCACCAAATCTAACCACCTCTTATCGACTAAGCCATTTGTAGGTTATATGACATATCCATTTGAGAAGTGACCAAAATGCTAATGTCAGTTCGATGGTGTAACTAATTACATTATTGATCATTGTTACCAATACAGCAATATATGTATAAAGAAAAAAAACCTAACAATTATATTTCACTATTATTGGTTACAACTGTGCCTAAAAGCAATGTTGTCACTTGAAAGGTCACTAGAAGGCTACTGGAAATAAATTAATAATATCACTGAAACTTTAAGTTCTGGTGACACTATTGATTTATTTCTAGTGCTTTTCAGTAATCTTCCAAGTGACAATACTGCATAATTTTTGAAGATAACTGTATGTACATAGTTTTAGACTATCTCTGTAAATAATAAACATTACATTAAGCATGTCAAAATCAATAACTTATCAAATTGGCTGAATAATTATTCAGTTAATTTTTCATAAGATGTCACTGAAATAATGATAACAGCTGTAATGACAGGGTGGTTTTTAAAAAAATTTTTATAAATTTTTATATATGAAATTAAAAAAAAAAAACTGGCCAGATTTATGTCATGAAAACCAAGGTATTAAATTTGTGTGGCCTTATAATTTAATTTTTTTTATGTGATATTAATTATTGTATAAATATTATTCAAAAAATTTATGAGTGCCATCAAGAGAAAACCTGTCATCAAGATTTCAATTATATTTTGTTCTGGACTCCAGGACTCATCATGAACAGTCTGATTATGTGTAATATACAATATGCAGAATGATGAGTTTCTGCAGTGGTTAATTTCTGCAGAAATTAATCACTACAGAAAATTATCATTCCTGACAATACATCACTGATCAGATCTTTAATGAATGATCCTGAAATCTGGAACAAAATTTAATTAAAAACCTGATTGACTTGACAGCAGTCATATTTTTAGATTTATTATGGTACTATATCAGTGTTACAGTAGAAAATATAAGCTAAACCAAAGATATCTCATGTAAATACAAATAAAAATACAGAGAAAATACTCTATTCAAAGTGTAAAAATGGAGATTTTTATTAAAACTTTATTTAGAAACTTTAAAATTAAAAAATTCAGTTAAAGTATACATGATTTATAACAAGCATTATTTGTATTATTAACTTCTATTTATTGTTAGATGATACAATAATATTGTTTCACCTATTGTTTTGTCTTTCAATGTTTTTATTTCTTTTTGACACTATTCCTAATCACGAATGAGATTGAATGAGATTGCTGCCCACCTTAACAGTACCAGATCTCACATATTCTGATAATATAAAGTCACATTGAAACTTCATGTAACTTGTTGTCACGAATGTTGCTACCATTAATATCTTATTTAGAGAACTAGGTTGTATTCATTTGTGCCCTTGAGAAATTTATATATGGTCATTCAAATTTCCTTACTTCTTTCACATTGAATCCCAAAGTGCTCAACAGCTGATTGTTTCTTTTAATCATTTTTTCAAAAATTTAAGGATCATAGAAATTATTTTGATTGATAACTGACAAAACAATTATAATTAATAAATGATTAAACTATTTGTTATATAGCTTTAGGATTGGTGAATTTCGCATTAGGGCGCATTTGTCAAATTAAGCTAACGCTAAATTTTGGGCCTCTGATATATATCAAATCCATTTTGATGCACTTCAATAGACATAGAAAGTTATAATTACAGTAACATGGACAAAGTTTAGTATCACATATAAATAGTCAAAATTAGGATGTCTGTAATGAAATGATGAAATTTATGATAAATAAAAATTTGTTACTTAACTAACTCTATGTAGTTATCAACTTCTACTAGTTAAATTAGATTATATAATCATGTGATTTCAATTTCTTGGTTATTGTTAAAAAAACTTATTATATAATGATTAATGATTTTCATAATATAAACTTATCGATATACCTTATTATATACTTTTTATTGTTCGTAAGTGTATTTCAGTTCTTCAATTTCTCGCACAGTACTAACTTTCTGATTTTAGAAATAGGCATCATAAACAAAACTCTGGTACTATAAGTGCCAACGTAGCTTAATTAATACTTTCATTTTAAAACTAGACACTTGAGTTGCTTAAAGGGAGTTAGAAATAAGTGCATTATATCAGGTATTGTATTATACTAGTACAAGTTCCTCATGTTGAGATTAGGCTTCATGGTTGCAATAGCAATGCAAGAGTCTAATATTGTGGTTGACTTATGGCTTCTGCAATGAATGTAAGAACTTCATACTTGGTGATTTAGCTTCACAACTATTATAGCAGTTTAAGAACCTTATATGTGATTAGACTTTGTGGCTGTAATAGCAATGCAAGAACCTCATGTTGTGATTAGGTTTTATAGTTGTTATAGGCAATGAAGAACTTTATAATTGGCAATTAAGTTTTACATTACATTAGCAGTACAAGACTTTTATATTGTAATTAGGCTCTGTAGTTACAAAAACCTCATGTTGTAATTAGGTTTTATGGTTATCATATATAATGCAAAAACCTTATTTTTAGCATCAAGTTTCACAATTACAATAGTAGTGCAAGAGTTTCACATTATAGTTAGGCTTTGTAATATAATAGCAATACAAAGATCTTATATTGTAATTAAATTTTATGATTAGAAAAAGCAATACAAGAATCTTATTTTGATAATTAAGTTCTACAACTATTATAGCAGTACAAGAATTTTATGTTGTAATTAGGTTCTATAGTTGCTATATATAGTATAAGAACTTTATATTTGACAATTAAGACCTAAAATTATAATAACAGTGCAAGAATCTTATATTGTAATTAGATTTTATAGTTACAATAGCAATACAAAAACTTTATTTTATAATCAGTTCTATAGTTAGCAAAGGCAATGTAAGAATTTCAGTTTAGTAATTAAGTTTTGCAATTATAATAGTAATAAAGAACTTTATAATGTAATTAAGCTTTATAGCTGTAATAGCAATACAAGGACTTTATATTGTAATAAGGTTTTATAATTGTCACAATTAGTTAAGAATCTTATATATATATGATAACTAAGATATACAATTATAATAATAGTATAAGAAACTTATATTATACTTAAACTTCATAGCTGCAATACATAACAATATAAGAACTTTATATTGTAATTAAACTTTATAGTTGCTATATGCAATATAAAAACCTTATTTTTGATATTAAGTTTATAATTATAATAACAATACAATAGTCTTATATTGTAATTAAACTCTGTAACTAAAATAAAATAAATAATTATAATTTAACTAAATTAAAACTAATAATAATAATTTTTATATTGAATATAGTTAAATGTATTATATAATTTACAAAAAATTATTTATATAAAGCACAAATCCTATAACTTAGTTACTAAGCTTTTATTTTCTTATAAACAAAATTAGTAATCCAAGTTTGGCTAAAAATAAATATTCTAACTAAAAAATTAGAACTTATAATCAAATGCAAACTCTATAAAAATCTAAGTAAAAGTATATATTAGATATAAAAAATTCTTAAAAGAAAACTAGTATAACAGAGCATAAACACTATTATAGTAAGAAATATAAAAATTATTATTAATGTTTATGAAAAAATTGACCTTACCTAATACAGAATTATCTTTAACATAAAAAATTCAAAATAAGTATAGTATAAAATTTATTTTCATTTTAGTAGAATTTATTTTAAAAATAAATTATTTTTAAAATCTAATAATCAAAAAAATTAAGTTTGTTTTAGTATTATAAAAAAATATTAAAAATTAGAAACTTGAAACAAGAAATTTACAAATAAGTTTTAGATATGATAATTGACAGATAACTTGCAAATGAAATCTTTAAATAGATAATGACTAAAGTTATACATATAATTAATTGTAGTCTTATTAATATGTAAAATATAATACTCCTTTTTACTTTAACAAAACACTTAATAAAAACTACAAGACCAAAGAAGTTTCTTTATAAACTAAAAAAAGAATTATTTATATAAATAAAGCTTTTATATAACTACTTTAAACTCTATCTAATAATAAAAAAAAGATAATAACAATACTTTTTACTAAATCTATATAATATTGTTCATGCATATTTTATTTACAATTTCTGTTATATCTATAATTTATAAATTAAAAAAAAATAGAAATCTATAAAGCATAAAACAATTATAAAGTACAAAATGAAAGTTTTATTTAAAAAGATTATATAAATATATATATACAATAAGTAAACAAATATCTATTTAATAAAATTTAAATAATACATTAAGTATATACTCTTATATTAAGAAAATCCAAAAAATTTTGTATAACAAAACAAACTTAAAAAATATAAAAATTGTGAAAACATAAATAACATAATAATTTCCTATTTTAACTAACTTTTGACCTCTAATTAAAAGTTTTTAAAATGAAATTTTATTTATAAAATACAATTATTAATATTAAATATATAGAAAATTTTTGAAATACTATAATTTATATTTTTTTGACTAATAGCTATAAAAAAAATATATTATGTAAATATTATAAGGTTTAACTAATAAGACACATGATCATATATTTTTAGTATATAATTTTAATTAATTACTTACTAATAACTGGCATATATATGTTTTTAAAAAGAAAATAGTATGTAAATATAGATTAGAGTGAAATCTAAGTTGTGAAATAGTGAAATCAGCTGGTTATGATAAAATCTACATTTTATTATTATATAAAAGTGGATTTCACCTTCATGTGATGATATAGCAGATTTCACTATTTTGCAATTTAGTTTAACTCATAAAACAAGAACAATAAGCATAATGATAAAATTTACTATATGTATTTTTAGTAATATAAACAAGAGTTAGCATTATATTATTATCTGTAATTAATAATTATAGTTCATAATCTTTTGTAAAATCAGATTATAGTCTTGTAAAACTGAATGACAAAATCAAATATCTTTACTTCAATGCTTATATCTTATACTAATAAATTAAATATAAGGTAAATTGATGACATGACCAGATCTATTAGAGCTTAAACACTAATATTATTAATTAATTAAATATTTTTTTTTTTAGTATTTTGAGTTGAAAAAATTTACTATAAATAGTTTAGGTAATAGTATTTTTTTAAATAACATTAAATAACTAATCAAAACAAAGTTGAATTATTAGAATATTATTAACATTAAGAGTTTTATATATTTTTAACTATAATTTTTGATATATCAGATCAAATTAGATAAAACAATCACTATTAGATTCAGCTTATCAAGATGGTTCTAATGAACATAAAATCATATAATTCTAATTATAGAATCATGAGATCAGAATAATTTTGATAAAAACACTAATTTTAATATATATAACTTAATTCTGATTGATTCCTATTATTGTACCAGAAATTTTATATTTCTTACAAATTTTATAAATCTTATAGATATTACAGATATTATAAATATTACATTTCTATTGGATCTATTATTTCTATCATTTCTATAATATCTTTTATATCTATTATATATATTATATATATTATATCTATTAGTTCTTATATATCTTAATATTATGATATATAGTATTTATTAGCAATAGAGTAGTCTTTATTGTAATTATTTATATATATAAAATATCTATAAAAGTATTGCTTTCTGATCCTTCAAAAAAGTTAAGTATCTTCATATATTTTAATAATAAATAAACAAACTGAATACAATATTTAGTATCTTCATATATTATCTATTGTTACCTCTGCTTTAAAATTCCAAATCACTCTGTATATTGTTAAGTCTTATGTAGACTTTATATAGAATCTGTCAAATTATAGTTATCATACTATAATTGAATAGTTTCTGTTATCACTGTGGTTAAAGGAAAAAACTACAGGTTAACAGTACAATAAAAAATCTCTGATTATTTAAGTATGCAAACAGTTTAGTAATACAGAAGTTTAAAATATTTAGAATATATAGAACATAATACTGTTTTCTTATTAGTTTATTTTTGATAGACTAATTACTAATACCAATAAAATTATAAAATAACTACATCAGCATTACTATACTTTATATAAAAACTTATTTGTAAAAAATTACAATAGCATAGCAAGCCTTTATTGTAATTGACTAATTTTTGTAATATTGCAAAAATATCATTAGTTAATCAAAATTTATTTATAAGACAAATTTTATATTGTACAAACTATATTTTGTTATAATTAATATTTGAATATTTATTACTACTACCGTATAAAATCAAATTGGTATTAATAAATGCATTACTACGAAATCTATTAACTCAGATTCTAAATTATTGGCTAACAAATTGAATTTATTTATACAGTTTGGAGTGCTTTTTAATAATGAAATGAAAAAAAAAATTGTATAGAAGGCTTCATTAGAACTGTAGGACTCCATAGGCAAAAATAAGATCTAATTCTCGTCCGTTTAAAAAAATTGGCTTAGTAATAAGTTGATTTATCGGTTTTTGAGAAATCATTACTAACTTTTTTTATTTTTGCCTATAGAGTTATAGTTGTGGTAGAATTGATTTAGCAATTTGCCGTAATGCTGTAATGCCATAATACGTTACAGCATTACAGCATATAAAATTTATGGCAATTTTCTACCGCCAACTATATATGGAGTCCTACAGCTCTAATGAAACCTTCTATATGGTTTTTTTTATTATGGTTGGTTTTTGTTTTTTTAAAAATGACTCTAAACAGTATAAATAATATGAAATTAAATTGCATTTATCAGCCAATCAGACGAACTTCTGCCTATGACTTAAAAATAAAGCAACTTCGATTAGCGCAAATATTGTCGATTAAAAAAAATAAAAATAAATACAACGAACTCAAAACTTGAAATTTCACAATAGTTCGGTAATAGATTCTTAATAAAACACGACAATTTTTATAACAAACTTTTTTTACGGTCAGTTCACTATAGAAAAAGTTGAGACTGTACAAATTTTTTTGTTATTTTTTATTAATATTAAGATTTTTTCAATTACATTACATATGCTTTACAACGTATACAATGTTACAGATTTCACTTTTGGCATTCTAAAAACAATTTTTTTAAAATCGCCAATTTAAGTGGTTTTTTTTTTTTTTGTCATTTTTTGAAAAAATTATGTCAAGTAAATAAGGTTTAACTTAAATGACGCAGAACAATTCATGTTTCTATTTCTTAAACTATGTAGGTTTTTTTACTTTACTAAATTACTGTAAATGTAATGTTCTTATCTCTTTAAAAACGACATTGATCCCTTTAACTGGATAAGTGCATCGTGTTGTTGATTTTTCCTGAAACTCATGAACTTGATTCAAAGCATCTATTTTCTTTAATTAATGTTCAATTATCATGTTTTCCAAAGTGACCTTAGGTTTTAATAGCTCTAAATACTACAGACCGGTGGAAGCTTTCGTTAGAGTGAGGTAGATAGATTCATTATATCCAATAATTTGTTTAGGTTCTAATTTATATTGTAACTTTAGCTTGTAAAATAATGAAGTAACGGTTTCAATATTAAAATATGTGCCTGTAACGACTTTTGCAAAGAAAGAAGCTTAGAAATATTATTATTTAGATTATTTGCATAAATTAATGACGTAACGTAATCTATTTTTATTAATTCTTACATATTTGCAATTGATTATTAAAAATAATCAAAATCCCTTTTTGTTTTAGAGAAGTTAACATCATAGCGATAGATTGAATTGGGTTATTACCATGCTAACTTCCCTAAAACAAAAAGAAATTTTGATTATTTTTAATAGCGGAGTCCTACAACCCTAATAAAACTTTCTATATACGTTTTTTTTGTTTATTCTTTGTAGCTTTATTTTTTTTAAAAGTACTTTAAACTGTATAAATAATGTAAAATTAAATTGATTAAACAGCCAATCATACGAAAGTCTTCCGATCTAATTATCTGGACGATCATCCGGACCCAACCTGGTACACATTTTCTGGGTGCCAAAATTACAGGGGGTGTCGTGATTTATGTATTTATAACGCTAGTTTAATCAATGTTTACATCTTTCTTTTTTTGTCAACTAAAAAATTTCATCACTTTCAAAAATCAAAATGAACGCGTTACCAAACGAGTGCCTTTTTGAGATCTTTAACAACCTTCGAGATCACCATAGAAGTTTATATTTGTGTATTCTCGTAAACCGTCTCTGGTGTACAATTATTATACCAATATTATGGAGCAACCCACTTTATCGTCTTGATAAAAGAAGGTTAAAACTATTCCTTTCAGCATTAAATGCTAAGGAACAAGCTCGATTAATCCCCTTCAAGATTATTGTTCCAAAAATTCCAAAACCATTATTTGATTATACAAGTTATGCTAGAACTGTTAATGCATCTCATTTGATGTTTAACATTAAAGACTGGCTCATAGACGAAGGATTTACTAATGGATCTCGTCGCTCAATTTCTAATAAAGATGAAGAATATCTTCCAATAATGACTGTAATTTGTTCCCTGATCGAAATGTTTTTACGAACAAGTTACGGAAAAATCAAATCCTTAACATTTGACGGTATTATATGCGATAAAACGATTTTTAATAATATTTACGGAAACACTGTTATTACCTCTTTAGATTTTTGTGTAAAAGGATTTAATTTGGAAACAGCAGAAATATTAGTGGGAATTCTTCGTAAAAATCCTATAACTTCTTTAAATCTGGCTCGTAATAATATTAGTTTTGAGGAATGGAATGTAATAGCGGAAGCTCTTTGCCAGAATACTACTATAACTTCTCTGGATCTTTCTTATAATGAACTTGATTTTATTAGAAGCGAGGCGTTATTTAAGGCTCTTGGTAATTTGAACTCTACTCTTTTGTCATTAAATTTGTTCTATAATAGTCTTAATGCTAAATGTTCGGAAATGTTAGCAAAAGTTCTTCGTAAAAACTCCGCTTTAACCACTTTGGATCTTGGCTATAATCCTCTTGGTCTTACAGGGATTAATGCATTAATGAACGCTCTTCACACAAATACCACCTTGACATCTTTGATTATTCCTTTGTCACTTACTTTCAACGGAATAAAAGCGTTAGTCAAAGCTCTCCGTATAAACAATACTTTAACTTGTTTACAAATTGACAGTAATTGCCTTGGTTTTGAAGGTGCAGAATTATTAGCAGAGGCACTTTATGAAAATACATCTTTAAAAGAATTAGAGTTGTATGAAAATTATATCGAGTCTAGAGGAGCAAAAGCACTGGCAAAAGCTCTCTATAAAAACAATACTCTGATTACTTTAGTAATCAGTTTTAACTTTATCGACTTTGAAGGTGGAAAAGCACTTGCTGAGGCACTTTGCGTAAACACTACTTTAATTAAACTAGACCTTGGCCAAAACAAACTTGGTTCTGAGGGTGCTATAGCGTTAGCAAAAGCACTTTGTGAAAACAACACCTTAAATACTTTAATTCTTACCGAAAATCGGATTCAGTCTGAAGGGATAAAAGCATTATCAAAGTCACTTCATAAAAATATAACTTTGACATCTTTAGACCTTTCTTCTAATCGACTTTGTTCTGAAGATGGAAAAGCATTAGCTGAAGCTCTTTACGTAAACACAACTCTGACTCATCTAAATCTCGATTACAATCAACTTGGATCTGAGAGCGCTGAAGTATTAGCGGAGGCACTTTGTATAAATAACACCTTAATTACTTTGAAGCTTTGTAATAATTCGATTAATATTAGAGGGGCAAAAGCATTTAGAAAAGTTCTTTATACGAACACTACATTAGCTTATTTAGACCTTTCTTGTAACGATTTTGATTTTGAAGGAACAAAGGTATTAATAGAGGCGTTAACAAAAAATAATACTTTAATAGCCTTAAAAATTTGTGATTAAAATTTTTTAAGTAACGAAGAAAATGATAACCTCAAAAATATTCTTCGATCAATTTTAATACCGATAACTGTCTATCTATAATACTATTAAATTAGATATATAAAATTGATTGAACTTACAAAGGTACTGTATATTAAACTTTTGAAGTAACTATATACAAATGTATATGAAACTTTTGAAGTAGCTATATAAATAGACTATATATAAAAATTGATAAGTAATTTGTATAAACAAATTAATAATTATCGCTTGATTAATATTATAATTATTGAAAGTTTTCTTTTAAAACTTGCCTTAAAAAGCATTACTATGATGTTTAAACTTTTTTTGTTATAATTAACCTTTATATTAACCTTTTCAATGCAATTATTATATAAAATGAATTATCTTGTCATATATCCTGTTAAAACAAGAATTGAAGTCACGAACTACACCACCAAAATCAATGGACCCGCCCACTACTGACCTACCAATTGCTAAAAGAATGAACCACTCAGTGTTGAAATCATACCCCAACATTGTTATCTTCTGACACTCAACGCTGCTTTTCTGTGTTTTATATGTAAACAATCCGTGCTGGTGCAACCCATTCGTATAACCTAGAGTCGCTTCATTTGAATTACCCAATAGTTATTCGACAATTAAGATTTACAATTACTAGTTTTCACCTTAATATATGTTTACGTATTAGATACATCACATGTTAAAAACCAATAGAAATGATAAAATTAAAAAGAAAAAAGCAGTAATGTCTATGGGTTTGGCGCCGGTTTTATTTTTCATATGGTATCTAGAATTAGATGATGCTAAAATTTGTAAATCTTGAAATCTAAACTTATTTAATATGGAACTTAACCATTTTTAAAAAAAATCATTTACTTTTTAGCTCTTTTTTTTGAGTTGGGTTAATATTTAGGTGCTAATTTGTTAATAAAAGAGTGTATGATTATTAAATTGAGTTTCAAATTTAGTATCAGCCGGTTAAAGCTACTGTGTTTATTAATAAGGTAAGGATATAACTTAGAGTTTGGATTTAGATTGAATTATTCAAAAATTCTAATATTCTAAAAAAATATAAGTTTAGGATCAGTCTTGGGACAGATTTAGAACTAATACGGCCTTACATGTTAAAGTTGTTGTCACTATTTTTCAGTAAGTAAATACTTCTTAAAAATTTTATTTTAAGTAACTTTAATTATTGGCTCACAAAGAAAAATGTTAAAAACCTTAAAATCTTACGATTCGTTTAAGACCGACAGGACCAATTTGGAACCAATCAATATATATGATATGGCTTTAAATTTTGTATTAAAAATAATTCGCCAAATATAACAAGTATATTTGTGTATAAATAAAATCGACAAATTATAAAAAATTTTGGGTTTTCCAGATAACATAATCAGTGTTGTCAATTTCTTGATCTATTGATAAAAATTATATTCTATTCTAATTTCTATTGTTCTATTGTTCTAATTGTTCTAATTGTTCTATTTAATTATTGCTATATTAATATTCAAATATAATCTTGGCAAATTTTTGTTCTATTGAAAAAATTTTATTCTATTCTAAATTCTATTGCTTTATTCTATTGTTCTATTCATCTATTGCTGCCAACACTGAACATAATATAATGCCAAAAGTCCACATCTGATATCATCTAATAGTTTTTAAATTACATAAATACACGGAATATTATATATTCGCCAGCTTGCTGCTAACGAAAGCTAAAATATTCATTGTGAGTTATTTGAAAATAAAATATAATTAATAATAATTAATGAGCTATTTTATTTCCGTAGTAATTAATAACCCATTAGGTACATAAGTGAATATAGCATTGAACTAATGTCACAGTGACAATTATATCCATTGGATAATCCGAAACTGACTAGATATGTGTCATGGTTGTGTGAATGAGAGCAATGTGAATAAGTAATTTGGAGTCTATCTTATGGATCAGTGATGTAATGTTTAATATAATCAAGTATAAATAAATAAATAAGTTTAGTTTGACAAAATTTGTAGTTAATAAATTTTAGTGTGCTACTTCGTGAAGCCTTGTGTAAGTGGGAAGAAGTCAATAATAAAGAAGAGAATAAGTGTTAAAAGTTAAAATAGGTAAAAGAAAGAAACGAGTAAGAACTATAAATTAAACTTTATTTCGGTAGATTCATCGGATTTCCCCAGGTTTATTGAATAATTTATAATCGGGTAAGGATCCCAGGGATTGGACTAATTATATCAATCACTTAGTTCTTAATATCATCATATTATTATTAATGTGTTTATTAAAATTTTAATATGATTGCTTTATATTACAAGGATCTCAAAATTCCATATAAATTATCGATAATTAATAAATATAAATGAAGTAAAAACCTGAAACTTATCATAGTAAATCATTATATGCAAGTTGCAGGTTTTCACTCTCACGCACTTAAATTAGCTGTATCTATCACTATAACATAAACAGAGTTATCATGCAGGTAATACGACCTAGCAAATCAAAGATTTCTGCATGTTTGGATTTAGTAACTTCGCTATATTAAAAAAAAAAAGATCGAGATTAAGGTTAAAGTTAGGATAGCTATGTATGTAAAATGCATCCACTGCATTTTTTTAATAGTGTGTCAAGATAAGATTTCTCTTCTTATTTTTTTTAATTAGGTGCAAAAATGCTGTTCTGATGAATTGTCGTGATAGAGTGGGAAAAAAATTGATTTATGTATCGCTCCTGAGACTTTAGCTGTACTGGCATCGGTTATTAAAGCAGGAGCACTGGTACTGTTATAAAAAAAATGGGTTTAACGTGATAGATAATCATGTGATAAGCTACGTGTGTCTTTTTGTTGGACATCGAAATTATTCTACAGTCAACCCTCCATATATACACGCTCTATAGATGCACACCCTCTATAATTGCAACCTATACCTCAGTCCCGACTAATAATAACACATAAAACTACTCTCTATAATGCAACTTATGGTCAGTCCAAGGGGTGCATATATGGAGGTTTAAATGTATAAAGAACTTCTAATTGTTTTCTTGTAAGAATTATTTAAAGTTGGCTGTGCATAAATAATAAAATTTTATGATTAGATAATTGTTTATCAATATAAAGGCAAAGTAATTCGCAAGATTCTAATTTTTGAAAATTAAAACATTTTCAACATTAAAGCTTTAAAGACATGGTCATGATATTTTTATTTCAGTTTGTAATTTTTTTATTGCTAAAAAAAGCTTCATTGTCATCGTTTGATTGAGCCTTAATGATTACATAAGATATATTATTGGGCAGAAACGAAAGTTTAAAATAGTTTAAAATAGTTTAAAATAGTTTAAAATAGTTTAAATTTTGCATCTGCCCAATCATAATAAGCCGCCTGATAACTAGTAATCTGAAATAAGTCTTATTTTTATTTACGCTAAGTGAAAATTTTGATCCTGAATAATAAAAAATCATGTACAATTCCTTTCAAATATTTGTAAGAATAAACTACACGGTATTTGAAAAGTCAATTGAAACTAAAAAATGTAACATCTATGATCAGAGTTTAATCACGCGCAGGATAAATTGGATAGTGAGCTAATTTTTAAGGAATAAGGAAGGTCACGAAATATACATTTGAAAAAAAATCATATAAATGACACATAAATTGGGAAATTAGCTCTTACTATAAATAGAAATTCTCACATAACTTTCAATCGCATATTTAACACCAAAATGAAGTAGTACACTCACCCGGAACCTTAAAAGTTTATATAGAAATTGGCTTATAATCATTCTTAAAATTTTCATATTTTCATATGTGCTTATTATATGGGCGCGCGACTGTATATACTGTAAAGAGTATATTACTACTGGCAAGCATGTTCGTTTAATATAAATTAGGATGGTTGCTTTGATAAACAAAGGGCGCAATTTCTTGAAAAGTATGAACGTCTTGAAGTTCGTCATAAGAGTTAGAATAGAAAATAATATCATTATTATCTTGAAAGGTTAATGCGTGATTATGAATTAAGATGGGCTTCATAGAAACTCCATTCGAATTATTTTCAGGATTATCAGGAACATAGTTCTGTTCTAATGTTTTGCTTTTTTTTCTTGGTTCGCGTTTTCTTTTTGGTCCGCGTCTTTTATTTGAACTGATAAAAATACATTCAAGACCATGTAAAGAACAATATTGACATGTTGCACTTCCTGTGCATTTTACATGTCTCTGTTGGCAATTTGTACATGCTCGAGTCACGTAAGGTCCTCGTTGTCGTTGACATAAAGACATGATGAATCAATGAATTTCACAAATGATAACTGTGAGTGAGGTGGGGTGGTGTCAACATCTCAATTTATACTTAGCTAAAGGGAAAACATCAATACGACCAAATTAGGCTGGCAAATTTTTTTTGCCATTTAAATGAGATAGCTAAAGTAAGGTAAATATCTGAGCTTAGGGTTACTTTTCTGATGCAATTAGGATTACTATTTTGTATAGATATCAAGAATACAGTTTATACAGTATGTAAACCAATATATTGAATTTACTACGCTTTTAAACAATAAACAAGAAATCATGCTATATACGCACAAAGAATAATCATAACACAAATTTGCGTTTTTTGTTTTTTTTTACATAAAAGGTTTTTTTCCGGGATTGCATTGAACTAATATAGTATATTATATAACATGAAACTACAAACTTTATATAACATGAAACTACAAACTTTAATAATGGCTACAAAATTTTTTTTAATCTTAGATACAAATTTCGGATTTATCAATTGTTTTTAAAAAAAATTCATATGTTCGGTCAGTACAACATGTGCATAGCGCCAGAAGCTTCTATACAAGCTTGTTCTCGTACTACCGAAAAAAAAGAATAAATCAATTCTGTACCAAAATTGTTCGATATAACGGTCTACAAATTCCGTTGTATAACACTTATATAAGAGAAAATAGGCTTGACAACCACTATAGATGTTTCAAGTCACATTATTTATTAACCATAGAATAAAAATTTTTATCATACAGATTAATAAAATCAGTAAGTGGGCTGACCGAAATACCCGTTATACATACGTATTGTGGCTGTGTAAACTATTTTTAACTTATTCAGTCCATATCGATATGGTGCAAATCATTTAGTCGCAAAATTCCGGGTCAAAATTAACTAATTTTGCCTAAGATCACACTTATTAAGTAAAGTTGCCTAGCTGATAATTTTGGCCCAGAAATAGTTTACTTGTATTGCTAAATGCCGGCCTAAATCCGATGGATCCGACACGGAAATTTGGTGATCATCTTGTAAAAAATAGTCGCATCGGATAGATTAGTAGAGCAACCAAAATTCAGCAAATCTAAAGTCGGAATAGGTTCGAACAGCTTTACTCAGTACCTGAGCCACAATTTCACCTATTCCAATTCTAAATTTTGGTTAATCTGTTAAATTTTCTTTACTAATCTATTTAGTTAATGTGTATATATACTATTGGTCATCTCATTAAGCATGATACACCAACTTAATACATTTAAATTAAAATATAATTACACAAAATTTACATATTAACTTACAATTAAATAAATATATTTAATATTCGAAGATTTATAGAACATATTTATAAAAAAAAAAATTAATTTAATTTTTGATTACATATTGTTTAAAAAATCGCAAAATTGGTCAATTCTTTAAAAAAAAATTAAAAATTGAAATTTTTTGATATATTTTTAAATTAACCAATCATAATCGAGTATTTTTTTGTATTACTACACAAATATTTTGGTGTAATATTGATGTATAAACCTGAAAATTTCAACTATAATTATTATATAAAAAAAAAATTATAATAAAAAAAAAATTTACTATTTAAATTAATTTACTATATAAAAAATTAGTAATTTTATATAGTAAAATTAATAATACTGTGGGTGTAGTAATCTAGTGAAGTAGTCAGGTTGTCAACCTTTCAAGTGGTAAGTTGGGTGTTCAAATTAACAGTAAAAATTTGGATAATCACCTATGTAATATTTATATTATGGTAATTGTTTTTTTTTTTTTTTAAATATTA